ATGTTATTTATAGCCAAAAAGTAAGATGCAATTATGATACCTTAAATCAATTAGATCTTTATAACAGTCTGTTATAAACTGACATAAAATGCATATAATCATGAGTTGTCACTTTATATCTCCCAATAATCTTAGTATGATGAAATTTAAATGTTTTGTTTTATGACCAAAGCTCTGTAGTTTTTATTGTGGGTGGCAAAACATATAATGCAAAGCAATACAACATTCCTCAAAAGCCTGTTGTATGATATTTAATACTTGCATTTTAACATGATTTCATCTTAAAATACTTACAACATAAAAGTATTCTTACTTTAACTTAATAAAAATCATTAAGTATTTTGCAACAAAAAGACGTGTGAAGGTGGACAATTACTAAAAAGCCCTTTACTTCCAAAAAAGTATAAGCTATCAAGCAGAGGACAGAAGGCATGTAGTAGATTGTGTACAACAATTTTTAGCCAAGTTTTGATCATGCTGAATTTAGAGGATTTGAAAATTCATGTATCAAATATGATACATTAGACTTCATAGGGTTAAAACACAATCAGTCTACAATATATGAAACCCAGAGAAAACGAGATTGTTCCATGAAATAAGAGCACTCACCAGGATCAGAGAACACTGCTTTTGAATGGCACGCCAGCAACAGTAATAAAATAATATTAAACACAGCTCCATGGAGACTGCACCATACACTAAACGCAAACAGAGAAAATAGATAAACATTATATTTTGCATATCACATGTATTCAATGCAGTAGTAATTTGTTGCCAGCTACTTAAAGGGGTCATATGATGTTGCTAAAAGAACATTATTTTGTGTATTTGGTGTAATGAAATGTTTATGCGGTTTAAGGTAAAAAAACAACAACATTATTTTCCACATACTGTACATTACTGTTTCTCCTATATGCCCCGCCTTTCTGAAATGTGTCGATTTTTACAAAGCTCATCGGTCTGAAAAAGCGAGGTGTGCTTTGATTGGCCAGCTATCCAGTACGTTATGATTGGCCGAATTCCTCAAGCGTGTGACGGAAATGTTACGTCCCTTACCATATTTGTGATGCCTGCGGCAACCACATGTGACGACCCCAGGTTGGACTCCGCTTCGTCGTGTCAGATTGGTCGAGACGCTACAGCACCAAGAGCTTGTAACACTCCAAAGAGAAAGGAAAAATTGAAATCGCATCATATGACCCCTTTAACAGGACTGAAATTAAGGAAAATGACCAATAAACCCCAAACAATTTCTTTACATTATGTGTGATAGTGTTGCCATACTGGTTATAATAACAAATATATAAAAGCACAAGCGTTTATTTTTAAAAACTCTTTCTAGTGATAGCCTGATAAATTATAAGAGGTTGCTATTTTAAAAGTTAATGTCCAAATAAAGTTGTGAGGCATGCTACGGTTTCATGGAGAACGGAATGACATAAACTCTATACACTTCTATACACTCTATTTTACTTCTAAGTACTTCTAACAATACCACAGTACACGTCCAAAAAATTATTAAACTAAAAAAAAAATTAAAAGAGAGAGAGCGCGGTATATAATAATATATTACAGTATAAGGTATGAAAGCTTGTTAATTTGATGTGATACCCTGAAACCTTACACCACATAGTGTAACAGACTGAAAGTGTAGGAAACACACGTTGAATGCTGTTCTACCGCAGTGACAACGACGCTGGTACTAGTTGCAAACAGTTTAAACGCACAGTTCGCGGGAAAACACATCTGAACGCTGATAACATTCAGCACGCAGTCTGCTTTTGAACGGCTGTTGCTATGGGTGATTCTAAAAAGGAACCGTTAGAAAGCGATGATCTCATGAGATCACGGGCGCCGTTACGTGAACCAAACGCTGGCTCTTTAAAGCTTCGTTCACACGGTACTCACCTTCCAGAATACGCGGGGAGCAGGACATACTGAATCACAACATAGTCGGCGTAAAAGACGCTGAAATAAGTTAAAATGAGACAGATAAAGCCGCACGGGTCTCGCCGACAGCGAAACGCAGCCATCTTTCCATCTGCGGTCTTCCCGATGACGTCATAAAAGGACGAGTCACGTGTCTTCTCGTCGCGCGCTCCATTAGTCCTCCTGACCACCTGTCACCGTTTGTGTTTGTGTCTGGTGTCTGCTAATACTTCTGGTCAAAACATCATATATATAATCATAACTTTCAAATACCTTTTATTTTCTGTTTAAAGGAATGTTCTCACAATCTCAAATATCTAAGCACAATGTTTAAAATCAAACAAATCGCACAGATTGTTGGAATGACAAACATTTTTATTTCTTTTCATTTCTTTTCACAGAACAACTAGCTTCTCATTAAGCGCGATCTGAGCTTGAGTGAGATTTGCCAGGTAGGTCACCATCAACAGATCCTGCAAAGAAACAGAAGAGTATGAGCACTCCATAAACACCAGAACACAGCTATGATTCAGTCTGAGAGACATTACAGGGTTTCCAGTTTTATCTTTCACAGCTTTTTGTGATTTCTTGGATAAAGATTTTTTTATAAATCATTTTGACTCAGGAATTTGATTCTTTAAGGTACCATTAAAGAATTTTAGTAGTACATAAAACTAGTTTGACCGATTCATTGAAAAGAGGTCAATTCACTCACATCACTATGGCTAACATGTTTTATTTAACATAGGAGCAATAACTAGCCACTGAAGTATTGTAGAAGAGAAAACTTCTATTCAGCTACCTCACTTTCATTGTAAAAAAAAAAAAAAAAAACTTTCATGATGTTCCAAACAAAACTGATATTTCCATGTTTTTCATGACTGTGGGAACCCTGAAAGCATGTAAAACATGTAGTGTATCAAATTATACAGAATGTCACGTACGTTAATGTTGGAGTTCAGCATGCTCTCAAAGTCTTCTGCTGTGATCTTGGGCACTTTGTTCACAAGATCCATCAGGAAACGACCAACACTGTTATCTGCCATCACTTTACCAGACTAGAAAAAATAATAATATTTCAGTTTTTAAACAAAAATGGATTTTGTGAGATCATCCTACAAGACAAGTGTTGATAACTCGTGGGGATTCTTGCATTTTACATAAAATAACTTATTTAATA